GGGGGGGGGTGAGGGTCAGGCCAGCACAGTCATGACATGTTTGACTCCCAGGACTTTGATCTTCGGTTGGCACTGGGGTCTGGAGCCAGGCCCGGTATAAAATTTCAGCTCGATTTCACACATGACACACACTACTTGGCAGAAACATTGGGTTTGGGCCCTGCCCTCAAATCTGTAAGTATATAAGGCTATAAGATATTACTGTTTATGGGGACCTTAAGGTCCTGAAAGGCTTCCTGGGGTGTGTCCTGGCAAAACTTGAGTTTGAGTGAAGTGTGACAATAAAATTGACTAGCAGAAAAACGGTGGGCATGAGTTTATCAAGTTCCTTTAGCTGTGACAGGAGTGCCCCCTTAGTCGCCTTTCAAAGAACTTCCTGCCCGGCCGGGCGTGGCTCAGCGGTTGAGCATCGACCTAGGACCCAGGCGATCAGGGTTCGATTCCCGGTCAGGGCACATGCCTGGGTTGTAGGCTCGATCCCCATTCGGAGGCGTGCAGGAGGCAGCCAATCAATGACTCTTATCATTGATGTTTCTATCTCTCCCTCTCCTTTCCTCTCTCTGAAATCAATAAAGATATATTAAAAACAAAAAAAACTTCCCATATACCAGGTGATACTGCAAGTACTTGACAATATTTAATCCTCTCATCAATTTGTTTTACAAAAGGAAGACTGGTAAAGAAAGGCCAAATATGTGTAGAAGGTGGTAAAGCTCTGGTTGGAGCTCATATTTTGTGCTCATGTGCTTTTTGCTTCTAGAGCTTCCATCAGAACAGTAGCAAAGCAGCAGGTCTGGGAATAGGCCTCAATTAGGACCTAGTCCTGTATGTGTTACACTATTCATACCCACATTCTCCTGGACTCGGAAAGCCAGTGGGGGTGGGTCAAAGCTGGTGCAGCCCAAACCATCTCTACCCTTGACTGCTGCCAAGGGGCTCTTCTGCTGGAGGAGGGGGGTCAACAAAGCCAGCTATTGGGGCAAGGGAGCTGGCTTCCAGTGAAGATGAGCCGGACATCTGTGGAACAGGGAGAAGGCAGATATTTAGCAGAAGGCTTATGTAGAGGTTAATTGCACAGGTTCTGGAGTTGGACTACAAAGTCTCAACTCATTGAACCAAGTTAACTCCACTGTGCTCTTGATTTCCTCATCTGTTTACATAGTACTTACCTATCGGATGTGTACACAGAAAGCATTTGGTAGTGACTTGGCACATAGTGGTCAACAAAGGATGGTTATTACCGCACCAACCACACCCAAGGTGTCCCTAGCTCTAGTTGAGCCCTCACCAGAGGTGGGTACTGGTACTCATGGGCATTAGCTGGATTGATCTCTGCCAGTGTTTGGACTTCTGCATCTCTTGCATTCACCAGCCGCAGAAAGAGCTCAGTCTGACCTTCCTGGGGAGAGGTGAAATGATACTGTATCTGTCCCTTCTAGTTGACTCAATCTCAATTTTCCACACTTACCTGGGGAATTCCATTCTGCTGCCCAAAACTAAGGCTGGGATCCAGAGGAAGGGCCCGAAGTGGAAGACGCCAACGGCCACTCAGTACCCTCTGATCCCGGTCAAAGAGCACCAGTGAGGCCCAGGCCTTTGGTTGTGGTGCCCTAGCCCCTGCCAGCCCCTGCCAGGCTTGTAGCTCACAGATCAAGGATACTGATGGTGATGGTCGGAGTCTAAAACAATGAAAAAGGTGTCAGAAGCCAGAACTGGCTCTATTCCATTCCTAGAACTTGGCCCTCAGAGCCATTGGCCCTGTACACAAATGAGAAAACTATGGCAAGGAGCACCAAAGTCATTAATTCCCACCTACTGACCTGGGTGCAGGCTGCCTGCTGGCAAGGATGGCACAGTTGCCCATGGGCCCAGGAGCTGGAGGAGGGGGCAAACAAAGGGCTGGGGGCAAAGCTGTGATCCCTCCTGTCTCCTGTCCATCTTGAGCCAAGCCAGTCATTAGTTGCACCCAAATCCAAGAAGCCTCAAGGCCCCGTAGGAAGTCATAGAAAATGACCAGGCCAGCCCTGGGAACACAGGTCTCAGTGAACACATACACTCCTCTCATCCCCTCCCCAGTCATTTCCTCAACCCTCACTGGACCTTAACCAGCAGTGGTGACCAAGGCACAAAGGATGTCAAAGGAGGGAGCAGGCCTCACCCAGGATCGTAGGGTGCAGGGCCTAGAACGTCAGTTGTGGGCAGGACAAAGTGTGGATCCAGACCCAGGTTCCTGGTTATGGCTCCAGGAAGCTGTGGCTGTGGGGAAGAGTTGAGTCCTCTAGAAAGCTTCCAAGATGCCTATGCTCCCCCAACTACACAGAACAGAGCTGCTCCTACCCCAACCCCTGGGTCCTCACAGTCTTTCCTGTGCCACCCAAGAATAGGACGCCCGTGGAGTGTGGAAGTGGTGGCAGCGGAGGAGCCACCGGTGGTGGGAGGCATGGGGGATCTTCCCTCCTTCTCAGGCGTGGGCTGGGATTGGCCACAAGTTGTGGCTCCCTGGACCCTAGGTGCAGAGGAAGAGTAGGGAGTCCCTGAGCAGGAAGCAGCAAGTAACTGGGCTGAGATATCCCTGCCTGAGAGCCAAGCCCCCACACAGACACCTGGAGATGCACACGGACACAGACCGGGCACAAACACGAGTCTCATTCCCCATGCATAGTCACTCTCACCCCTTCCTCTAAGCCTGGCCTTCTGGAGAGGACTAGGTCGGATAGGATTGGGGTGCTCACTGACCCCAGGGTGCTGGGCCTGCAACCCTCTGCATCTGCAAAGCCAGAATTTCTGCCTCCAGGCGCCGGTTTTCAGCCTCCACTACTAGACGCTCCCGGGATGTGGAATCTGCCCACCTTCCTGTGATGAACAAGTCTGACTTGTCACTTTTGGCCTCTGGTGACCAGCTTGGTCCAGCTCTGAGCAGCTCTCCAGCCTTAGGATTCTCTGGACAAGGGTGGACTTGTTAACTAACATTCTAGTCACCATCACAAAGGCCACCCAGGTTGTCTACCTCAGGACTTTTGCTTAGGTGGTACCCATGCCAAATATGCCCTCCCTCACTGCCCTTTTCTCCTTTCAAGACTAAGACCACCACTTCCAAGACCCTCTTGGCTGTCCCCTCCTGTTCACCCCTGCGGGTACGTGACCGCCGAAGCTCCAGAGCCGATGCCTCTACTTGCAACTGCCATATCTGGCCGAGAACGCCGGAGTCCCGGCCCCCGGCTCGAATGTAGGCCTCCCGCAGGGCCCTAGAGAGCAGGGGGACAAGAAGGTAACAGCGTCTTTTCAAGACTGATCAGCACTTCGCCCCATGCCGGTTCCCGGGACCTGGACCTCACCCGATCTCCGCAGCCAGAGACCCTGGGTTGGACTGTCGCGCCGGACAACAGAGTTCTGCCTCTCGCAAGGAGTTTAGCCCGGGCCTGGAGTGAGGGGCGACCCGTGGGGAGACGTTACCACGGATCCACACCTCCAGCCAATCCGCCCCATCCCGAACTCCCCCGTGCTGCCTTTCTGCTGCTTCAGAACATGTGTCTTTTGCGCGTGGCGCCCCTCGCGGGCTCCCCAGATCCCCCCCCCCCGCTAG